ACTATGCTTAAGTTCAGCAATTACAAACAAAAACTTCAGAAAATAGAGAACAAAACTTTAACTACTATGCTTAAGCTCAACAATTACAAACAAATACTTCAGCATACTTGGTTCAGCAATTTTTGCTACTTCAGGCCCGTCTACTAGAATGCTGAAGTTTTGCGTGATTTTCTTTGCTACTTCAGCCCCGTATGCTGAAGTTTAGCGGCATAAGTTAAAATATGACCCAAAAAGCGGGTATAGATGCAAATGCCCCAAATTTGTTAAGATTTTTAAAAAGCCCAAACTTTCCACCATGACCTTTGAATCAAACATAAAATGTTCTGCATCGATCTCTCTCCAATGAATATAGCCCAATGGAAACGTTAATTTAATAACATCGGATAAATGCCAAAGAAGACCAACTTATTCTGAACTAGGTCCAAAAATTCTATCATGCACAACTAAAGAAAAAATTGTAATTCAGTATTAAAACGAAAAATTGCTTTATCCGGAGCCCCAGAGCTGCGAAAATTTTCACTAGCTGACTTCTTTCACAACAAGAATGTACTGCATCACAGCTAACTTCCATTTACTAATAGGCCGAAAGCATGAAATGAAATTATAAAAGGGCTCATGCACTGCATGTACGCTTGTTTCCTAATATAATTTGGGACTTAACTTACGATTTTAAGGTAGCCGGTAATACTGATAATAATAATTACAATCAATAATGATCATCTTCATAAGCTTCTAGGTATGCAGAGCTCCATATTTTATCAGACAACGGGTTTCTAACAATTTAAAGACTCAATAAAAGTTGACATAATATAAGTGTCAAAAATAGAGATTAGTGATAGAGCTAAGAGTTTCTAAGCCCTCCTTTAAACCTCTATAATGCGTTTAAAAAAAAGATATTAGAGGAAGCAATGAGTGGAAATTTCCCTACAGAAAGCACTCATAGCCAGTTTTGAAGAGACTCAGAAAAAGGGGCATGGGAGCCAAGATCTTAAGATGTATTAAAATGAAACTATACAGACTGAGTTTGACACTGACCAAAAGAAAATGGAGGAAAGTAATAATCTTTAGTGATTAAGCACTCAGGGAAATCTAGTTTATGATTAAGTAACAATAACGGGTCTGTCTTATGGATCCCAAATTAGTCCAGAATTCGGCAAACAACATATAACACAAATTAGGAGAGTGTTTATGATAGGAAAAACATTGAGCATATGTTTATATAATCAATCTTATCGGAAATGAGCTTAATTTCAAGGCAACCAGCCAGCCATGTAGTTATTCACACTGGGCCCTGCTCCTCCTACTGTTATTGGATCATTCTGATACCTGCCAATATTCGCAATAGATAACTTAGGTCAAGTAACGAATATTCGTTTACTTTAAATCAGTTCTAAATGCTGCCAAATAAACGTAACAATCACTCTATATATATGTTACATGTCCTCAAATATGAGTGGAATATTTTGTACAATAGTAATAATTTTTTGGTATAATTTGAAGAATTTGGATGAAGTATTCACACATATGATAGATTGTATAGCATACATAGCGAACATAATTACCCTCTGCGAGGTCACCTTTTCAACTAAATATGTCACAATTTTACTATGTACTTCCTATGTTCCAGTTTATATGAACCTATTTCCTTTTTGGTCCGTTCCAAAAATAATAACCCTTTTTTAAATTTGAAAACAATTTATTTTAAACTTCTAATTTTACCCTTAATGAGAAGCTTTTATAATCACACAAATATTCTGGATCCCTTTTTAACTTATTTAGAACCACAAATACCAAAAGTCTTTATTTTTTTAAACTCCGTACCCGTCAAACAAGTTCACATAAATTAGAACGGAGAAAATACTTTTTATCTCACTGATTAGCAAAATATTGAATATTTACCTCTTAATCTTTATGGTAGTCAAACTGACCCATGAATGCTTTTAAAAAGCAAACAAAAAAAAATATATCATCCAAAATATTGATCAGAACGTACCCAATTTGCAAAGTGGGTTCACATTCCAAAGGATGAAAAAAGCCATCGCCCTGAGTTTGAGTTGTTTGCCGGCCGTAGCCCATATCTTGTGCATTTTGTTGCCACTGCAGATTTAGTTGGCTTCCTTCCATCAACTGCAAATTAAACCATTCCAAACCCTAATATGACAAGTGAATATATATACACACACAACTGCATATATATAATATTCTCATGAAACAACTATGACTAACAGAAGAGATGTTAATTATTGGTTCTGTTGGTGAAACCGTCACTTCCAATGAGAGCTTGAGTGACGGGATCAATAAGTAATTAAGACATCGCAATTAATTCTTTAATTTAATTTACATACATTGACTGTACAATGCTTTTACACTACTAATGTATTAACATGCAACAGGTAACCTACTTTAGTTATTTAGATTATTCATCATCTATTAGTGTATATATAGAAATTAAACTATTCTTTTCTCGTCGTTTGCCTCCAACACAGACGACATGCACTCACACGAATTCAGTAGTAATTGCGCTACCAAAAGGAAGGGGGAAAAGAAGGGAAATTTCACTTACCCTTTGTTTCAAGGTTCTGTTTGCTTCGTTTAATGCATGTTCCTGCCAAATGGAAGATCGTCGCCATATAATGATGATTTTAAGTAGCTAGGAAAACACAATGATTCTTTTTACTAGTCAGGAATAATAAAATAAACTTATGTACCTTTCTCTGAAGATCTGTAAGTTGATCCAACATTAACTGAGTCTGGAAAAAGTTGAGACTAGTGGTCAGTGCAAGTGTTTATGAGTTAATGACCATGCAGCAATATTTTAATACTAAAATTATTGATTAGCTATATGTCAAATTTACCCGAGTTGATCGAATCTGTTTCAGTGACATATCAAGCTGCCTCTCAAGTGATTCAAGTTCCTTGCTATTCAAAGGGCCAAGATCTTCACCAAGAAGATTTCTATTCATGACACAACATCAGAAAACGTTCTTTTAGCTAAAACACATTTCATAAATGAAGCTTTCTTCTCAATACCATTGTTATATATATACCTCTGTGATCGCTGTAATGCTTCGTAACGTGCTTTAAGCTTCAAGTATTCTTGTTGGCTACTTATTTCCTGTAACCATTGGCAACAATAAATTGGTCTATTAGATAGAAATGCTATCGCTATAAGAATTCAACGGATAAAATGGACCTTGACTCTAACTTCACCTTGAAAGCTAGCTTAGCCATTAGGTAAGGCTGCCCAAAGACTGTATAAGGACACTAATTTCACATCGCGCAATCCAGAAAACAAAATGCTTTATCTTTTTTTTTTTTTTTTTTTT